ATCACCAAGTGACAGGGAGGAACTGTATTGGATGCTGTGGTGTTCCACCCAGGTGACCCTGCTTCATGCCCGAGGCATTCATCCCATCCCCCAGTTAAAGGAGATAGCCTTCCACCTTTAGGACTTGCCCTAAGTCTAAAAGAGTCACCTCAGCCAAGACATTCCACATTTAGTGATTAGTCAAGGCCAAGCAACTATGAGTTCAACTCCTCCCTCTGTGCAATCCCAGAGACTTGGCACTTCTGAAGAAAGAGCAAAGGGGACCAAAGTGACCAAAGTAGCACAGTATCACATTACTGCCCCTACTGGGGCTCTGGCCAGGCCCAAGGTCAGGGGAGCAGGGGCAGTAGCAAAACCACTCTAAAGGTGAGTGCTAAGTGATTTAACCACATGGGGTCTGTAGCTAGGAGCACTGGTTCTGAGCCCCCGCCCCTTGTTCCCTTTTTAAATGTTTATTTAATTAAGGTTATTGGGATAGCACTGGTTAATAACATTGTATGTTTCAGATGTACAATTCTATAATACAATGCCAGTATTATAGAATATCTGCTCACCATGCAGCATCTAGTCTCTTTCCATTACCCTCTTCATCCTCCCCCATCCCCTTTTCCCTCCAATAACCATTATACTGCATAATTGACATGCAAAAGGCTGTAAATGTTTAATATGTACAACTGGATGAGTTTGAAGATAAGTATATACCTGTGAAACCATCAGCACAATCTTATCATCTTCCACTTCCTTTTTTGTGATAAGAACACAACATACTATCTACCCTCTTTGCAAAATATTAGATATACAATATAGCACTGTTAACTATAGGCACTATGTTGTACAGTACATCTCTGGGACTCATTCATCTCACATTGCTGAAACCTCACATCCTTTGACTGACATCACCCCATTTCCCTCCTCGGATGTATCTGAAGGACCTTATGCTAAGTGAAATAAACCAGGCACAGAAGGGCCAATATCACATGATGCCACCCATCTGAGGAATCTAAAATAGTCAAACTCATAGAAGCAGAGAGTAAAATGGCAGTTGCCCTTGTCCCCTGTCTTGATACTCAGTCAAGGCCAGGAAAGAAAGCCAGGCTTCCAGCAGCTGTGTTGGCAGGGACTCCATGAGAATGCTTAATTTCCTTTTCCTTGTTATATTCCCTCTCCACACCTCCCGGGTCCTCCTAGGGCTAATGGCAGAAGGTTCCACTGTTTTATATGGACAAACACTCAGAGTGAAACAACCAAACCTGCCTGTCCAGTGCTTAGATCCTCACCCTCAAACTCCCCTTCCTTGTCCCTAACCGTGCAGGGTCTCCTCAAAGTTCATCTTTGGATGCACACATTTTCAGATCAGTAGATGTTTAAATGGATAACAAAGCCCCGGGTCGGTATTCTTCATCATTTTTAGATTCTGTAATCCCTTTCACTGTTTGTATCCTAACTGCACCCCCATGGAGTGTTTTTAATCTATTTTGTCATCTTTGCATTACAAAAATGCTATTAAGTATACCTCTTTGAGATAGTGCATATTTTGAATACTGCTCTATAAGTTCATTTTAATTAATTTTCAACAATATTCATTACAAGAAAGAGTGGTTTTGACATTTTCCCATTTAATTAATGCTACTTGCTGTTTAATTTACTTAATTACATCTGAAAGTACGTATGATTTATGGACAAGTAATTGATAATGATGCCACATGTCTGGTTTCCTAACAAAGTAAGGAGGGCATCAAACATGTAGACCAAAGTTTAATTTTCATGTTGTTGCATTAAAAAATGCTTTCAAGATTTACTGTTGCACTTTCAAAAAGTTAGCGCATTTATTGGTGTGACTTTTATATATGTTTCCAAATAAAAGATAAGGCTTCAGATAATAGCTTAGAAGCATATTGTTACAGTTACCACGGTGCTGGGTTTAGATCCTTGGTTCCTTCAAAGATAAAAAGGCAAATTAGCCCTAATCACGACAGCATTTTTTCCTTTGCCTATTTGATTTGTAAATGACTAAGAACAACAGTGTGTGTGTGTGGGGGGATTGGATAAATGTAAGATCTGGGGAAGATTCCTAGAGATACATTTACAGAATAAGCAAGCAGCCTTCCTCTCCCTATTCAGAGTGCAGCTTGGCATTAAGCAAGACCTGCTAGGTCAGTCCACTGGCCCTCCGGATCCACTTCCCATCTTTCTCCACCCCGTGTCCTATCGTAAAAGTGACTGTTATGGGTCGCCTCGACAGTGTTCCTTGTGATCTTGTTTCTACTGGGTTTGGCCACTAGAGAGTGAGGTAACTGAAGCTGGAATGTTTATCCCCCAGCTGGTGGGTCACTGCGCTGGTTAAGTTACCCTGGTGAATGATTTCCTCTGTCTCCCGGCTTCAGAGTTTACATGCCCATAGCCCCCTGTTGTTACTAGCCTCAGAGCTCTTTGCTATGCCTGGGGGTGTCTCTACACTCTACTCACACATTTTAAATATTCTCTTTATTAAACACACATCTAACTATACAATTGAGTGTAACTATGCCTCCTCTTTTCTGCCTGAACCTTGTCTCTTACATAATGTGGGGCTATAAATGAAAATAATGTAATACTACAAAATGGTCATAAACATGGCAGCCTGTGATATTCAGCAAATATTAAAGCAACTGAGCAATGGGATCACAAGCTCTCTCATTGGATATCCACTAAATGCTACCCACATGCAGCCAAACACATATTCAGGGCTCAAGAGAAAATCAGCCCAAATATTTACTTTACTGATGATTTTAAAATAAAACATTGAAACCCCAGATATTCTTTAACCATAAACACTCCCAAGTTTTGCTAAGTAAAATAATTATTTTTCACCCCATCCCAATGGGTAAATTATAGGACAATATGTATAGTTATGTGTGTTGTGTGTATGGGAAATTGTTTTAAAATCTCTGGCTATGTAAGAAGGTACAACTCTACCAATGAAAATTATGCATGGCACGAAAGTTTAAAATGAATTTTCAATCACTCCATCTGCAAAGGGAAATAGAGTTACTCTCTCCTCTAATCCAGGGTTCAAGCTGGGATCCAGAGAAGGTGTTATCCACCAAGGAGATACAGACAAGCCCATGCCACAATTGCTTAAGTCTCTGGAAACTCAAGAGCAGCTGGGTCATACACACAGGAGGTGAATATCACAGTGCTAAGTTAGGGGAACACACTGTGAGGAGCTGGGGTGGCTGACTTCCCCAGAGAGCTGGGAGCGCTCAGCTGGTAGCCTGAGAACACGGGGCAGCAACTCAGAGCTCAGGGAGCTCCCGCCCAGTGGACCATGCCAGCAGAAAATGAAGCCAGAGAAGGGTATAACATGACACCAGGGAATATTCACCACAAAATATATAACGTTCATTGATTTTCTTTTGATAAAACCCCTACACCTCTATTACAGTTTATTATTTGTTGAGGTGGAGGCAGTCACTAGGCTGTCAAGAGAAGTTATTTTTCCAAAGTGAAGGACCTGTTCATCCAGATCCTTCCTACTCTTCGCATATCCCATCTCAAAAGTGGCTGTGTACCTGTTTCTTCTCTCTTTCATACACCACACCCCCGTCACACACACACACACACACACACACACACACACACACACACACACACGTTTGTGGGGAAGTTGTAGAAAGTCTGCAATTCCCTAAGTAAGAGTGAACCTTCAAGCCCAATGCCACACCAGAAAGGAAAAGGGTGGGTGGACCCAAGGACAGAAGGTCACAGAAGAGCAGAGGGCTGAGCAACTTGTCCACTGCCGTGCAAATGGCCGGTAAGACTCAGTCCACTCCCCCTCCCTCCTCATCTTCTGTTCACCTGCTCCACCTTTCAATCTATTTCATCTGTCCTCCTTACAGGCTAGAAAGGAAGCAACTGAGAATCACTGGGTTAAACTGGAGAAGATAATGCTAGTTAGAATGGAGGGCCATAGCCTTGAGGGTAAGGTGTGTAGCCTTCTTCCAAAGCACAAGGCGGTAACCAATGGCAACAAAATAATGTTTTCTTCCAAGCACTGTACAAACAGCAAAAGCAATAAAACCTTTTCAAAGTCTCATTCACTCTCAACTCCCCTACCTCAGGCAGCTAGTAGTTCCTTGCATCCCTCTATTGTCAAAATGCCATACTGGTCAGCTCACCACAGTGCCTGACCCGAAGGCGTCACGTGGATAAATAAACAAACTGGGGATCGTTAATTGATGAGGAGTATGTTCTCCCAAATTATATTGCACTTTACCAAATCAAAACATCCCTTTACTGAGTCCAGTTTACCACTGATGTAAGCTGGGCCCACTAAAAGTAAAATAATATTTGTAGCATGATTCACCGCAAGTGTAACCTTCCCAGACAGGCCTTTCATTCCTAAAATGAATCTTTGTACCTTGCAAAAAAAAAAAAAAAAAATTCCATAACCCAAATCTGTTGCATTCAATAACATGTAGAATTCATGGAGTTTCATAGCATGACAGTCATACTAAGTAAGAGGAACAGTAGACATAAATAATACATATGAGAAGGGCATCCAGTAACTGGATAATATCCTAAGGTAGCAACACATTTCTTGCTTTGTGCTTTGTTTCTGCTCAGCTGCAGTACTATATCAACAAAAGTGGTGTTATTTAACACACCATTCACTTCCTGTTGCTGATCCAAGAAGTGTGGTAGGTCAGCGGTCTTCAGAAGGGGATTTTTAACAAAATAAGAAGTGTTTTTGAAACTATTAAAACAAAGAAATTCACCACAAAAGTATATCCATCTCTCTTAAAATTTGCTAATTCCTTGTGTTAAGACCTCTGACGCTTGCAGTGAGTTCTAGAACCACTAAAATACCTCTTTAAGGAAAGGGGATTTGGAGAAATACGGCCTTGTGGAAGGAGGTGGCAAACTGAGCACTGGATTCGGGTGAGGGGACTCATCTACCTTGGGAGCTTGCAAAGGCCTAAGGAGCCTCCTGCTCTGGCTGTGGGTGCCCGGCCCCTTACCTTACCACACTGCTTACACTTTCCCTCCTGCCGACGCCTGTGCACCCAGTGATGGCGCACAAAATTCTGTGGAAAAAAACAAATAAAATGAGTCAATTTAAATCTGCAAAACCAATATTAGGGTTTTTGTTTTAAGGATATAGATTTCTGTAAACCATCATCTCAGGCCACATTAACACAAAAACAAGTAGTAGGTGTATGTGTGATTTGTGTAACAATTATGAATCCATTCAGAAAATTAAGCGAATTCCCCTCCCCAGCCATGCATCCTGCCCCTCCTCCACATCTTGCTAGTGACAGAAGGCCACACCAGGCAGCTATTACTCTCCTCTCCTCTTAGGAAAACCCTGTGCGGTCACAAGCAAACCACAGGACCCTGAGCTAGGGAGTAACTGAGGCAGGTCGAAGAAATACCCTGAGAGAAGCGGTAACAACGATGTCCAATACTTTTTAACAAATGTGTATTTAATGCTTCTATAGATGCCAGACAGACACCATACTACACATTTGAGCTAGAAAGCACTTCAAAAAATTAAGTTCCCAGACAGAAATAGGTCTCTTGACTCAGGACACAAACGGTGGGAGTCTGTTACTAGTGAAAGTGAAGGAAGAGAAAAACTGAAAGACAAGAGACCGTTGTGAGTTTCTGCAATGACCTTGCGTTTAAACTGTCCTTGGAAACTCTGAACTAATCAGCTTTCAAGCTCTATTCTTGTCTTGGGTTGTGGGAAACATGGAAAGTCCCTTCCCTCCCAAACAGATAAGCGCTCCTGGGGCACGGGGGTCAAGGAGGGCCATCACCGCTGCTCTTAGGAAACATCGTAACAAAGTTGTCTTCAGGTCTAATTCACGGTGCAGGTGAACCCTAAAAACTTACATAATTGACTCTCCTTGGGCCATTACACCAAATATGCTTGCGAATGTCTTTCTCCTGCCTTTTTCTGAGAAAATGTACCCTCTCTGAGATGAACATGTCTGTTGATTATCACCAGAGTCCATGCTTTTCCTTTAAAAGGCCTTTTACTATAGACTCAGTCATTCAGCAAACACTAAGTACCTGCTGTCTGCCAAGCACAGTTCTAAGTACAGAGGAACACTGAAAATAGGTCAGTGTTGAGGAAAAACGAGCTGTATTAAGGCATAAAATCCAGAGTGACAAAATACCCCTAAAGAACATTGACATTATCAATTCCAAAATGCCACTTCTATTTCTCTATATAATGCCAAATCAATTTAAATTAAAACTCAACAAAGATCCTGGGGGAGTAATGGTCTTTTAACTATAATAAGAAACAATGAAACATAATGGCCCCACTAATTAGTCTAATTTTGTCTTGCTTTCCCCACAGCAGCAGTTTAATAAAACACAAACATAATTCATATATATATATATATATATATATACACACTCAGAAAGAAGCTAATATTATAATAATAGCTAACATTTGTTGAGAACTGTGTGCCAAGTACTTTTTAACATATTTCACATGTGATCATTCTTTTCCTTTCCATGAAGACAGCAGAGGTGTTGCTGAGTGGGTATGTGCCAGTAAAATCCTATGAGCTGTTGAAATGCAGAAATATGTCTGTGTTGATGAGTAGGCTGTAACTTAGTGCCCCTAGAGTCCCCCAGCACCTCCTCGGCTGCCATAGCACCCCACCACCCCATCCTCTCAACTGTGCAGGCCACTTCTACTTCCTTCCTATGAAGCAACTAAAAAGTTAATATTTTGCGCAGCAGGTCTCCAGGATGCAATCCCAATGGGCTCTCTTTCAAAAACAAATCATGTTGCCTGGGCCATGCCCTCCGACTCCCCCAGGAAACTAAGAAGTCTGGGCTGTGCCCAATGTGGCTGTCTGTGCAGGCTTAAAAATCAATACAAGCAATGCTTCAGGACAATGGCAGCAAGCCCAGGAACCTGTCCACTTATCAGTGTCCACAGCATAAGTTCCGTGCAAACACTACCAGGGACAAAAGTACTGAACTCGCCACCTCTGCGCCCCAGGTGAGGCAGACCTCCCTCAGCCTTCCACCTGCTTAAGGGAGAAGAACGTTAGCCTGCTGCCTGTGGAGGGTAAAGGCCTGGGGAGACAAGGGCAGCTGCCAATGGTGCTACATCCTTGTTCACATTATTGCAGGGCACATTATCAGAGGGTTTCACCTGAATTATCATTATGATCCTCCCCTGCCAGGTGAGGAAACGAGAGCACAGAGTGGTTATTTAAGATGTAAGGGCCAGAGTAAGGATGCAATCCCAGGTAGGCTGGCCCAGAGCCTCTGCTTTAGAAACATACTGTCACAGTGCCTCTCCTTTGCTCTGGAAGATCAGGTTCATGCTCCAGAAAATGACCTCAGTGACATTTGGAAATATTGGAAATACTGAATATGTTAAACAGTGGAAATACTGAATATATTAAAATGTCAGACAGAATTATAAGAGATATAGAAATTTATTATAACTGCTGTTAGTTTAGCAGAAGCTGGAGAGAATGAACAATATCATTGATGGTAAGAGAAATTCTCTACTTGTTAAGATTATAAATCACCTACTGACTATCCATTGAAGAGGAAAACGCTGGAAGAATCTGACAATTACCCATGTGAAATCATGGCTAACTCTTGGGGATATTTAGCTGCTGACAGCTCTAATCAAAAGATTAAACCAGCAATTTCCACAAATCAATAATTATTTGCAAATTATATGACTGATTTTTCTGTGTGACAATGTATATTGTTTGGTAAGCAGATATATAATATCATGTAGTTTAGTACATTTAGGGAATAAACGAGGACATTTTAAAATCATTTAAATATTAACATATATAACTGCATGTTGTTAAATATTTTTAATATCATCCTTCCTAAAAAATAGGTAGACAACTAAAAATAAAGACACAGTAAAAAAAAAAAAGTAATTTATACTATGTATACTAAGAAGAAACTGAGTAACTTCCCCCTATCTCGAGATGTCAACATCCTTCTATTCAAAGGTCTCCTTGGGCCTAATATAAATTTCTTCTACCACTAATTAAACATAGTTTGATCAAAGTAAACATCCAATAAATATGTTTTGATTTGAATAAAATTCTCAACCTCATTTCTTTGGCAATTCAATTACATAATCACCATTTTGAAGGATCACCAATTGCCTTTATCAATTAGAAAAAGAATTCTACAGAATCACTGCTGTTTTCTAATACTTATTTTCCAAAAACTTTAATTTTTGACACTATTCCCTTTTGATAGCTAGATATATCTCCTAAATTAATAAACTGAAATTAGACTCAGGATCCTTCCACTGCAAATATGAGTATTGATACACTTTTCTGAAGATAGCAAAAAAAGGCTTCTGATAGCATAACCTCTTTTTATAGTTCAACAATAAACTCTGAATTATTCATGTACTGTCTTTAAATACTGGGTAAAGAAAGGGCTGTTACTTATGGGTGTTAAAATCTCAGTGACACATATTTCAGGATTTATATTCAATATTGTAAGCAGAAATGCTTAACACAACTGCTCAGTTATTTTCACACAGCCAGTTCCATTCATAATATTATTCATAGAGCACTTTGTAGGATCTTAAAATTATAAGCCAATACATATAGCTTATGACTAAGAAAACTGAGGTCCACAAAAGTTAAACTTAGAGCTGTCCAACCAAAAATCATGAAAAAAACTTCCATGTCATATACTCTGCAAGCAAAGGGCACAGTAACTATCAATCCCTGCCCTGGATCCCTGCTCTGGAGACACCACAGAGTACAAAAGAGGTAGAGGTGTCGTTCAAATTCTAAAGTGACTGTTCTTTTATTTACATTAAGTAAACTACCTAATATCTCTTAATTAAGAATCTCAAATGGGCCATAGTCCCTCATAAGTTTCATCTTCACATTGTCCTCTTAGACCAAGAGTTGGTGAACATTTTTTTGAGAAATGGACACCTTTATGAAAGCATCCATCAACAGATATTGTTTGATCACATCCTCCATGTGGGTGGCACAATCCATCATTTTCCTTAGGTTTTCCTCACCCCATGTATGACCCGGAGCCTGGAGCTACACATCCCGGATAACACTGGAAGGCTGACTGCCTCCTCCAATATTTTTGTCTTCTCTAACTACATACACTGCTCCATCGCCTCTAAATAAAAGCAGAACAAATACATCAGAGTGCAGCTCTCATCCTGTTCTCACTTCTGCTTACTGCTAACATGCAGTACTGTTTGTCTCTATAATTTCCTATTCACCTGTTTGCCTCCACTACCAGAAGGAAAGGTCAGGGATTGAGATGCAGTTCCTCCCTCCCTCCCTCCTTTCCTCCTTCCCTCCCTCCCTTCTTCTTCCCTTTCTTTCTATCTATCTATCTATCTATCTATCTATCTATCTATCTATCTATCTATCTATCTCTGTATCTTCCTGTTTATCTACTCACTTAACAGAAGAAAACATTGAGATTTTGAAAGATTAAATAAGACATCCAAAATCACACAGCATCAAGGCTGATTCTGAATCTAGACAGTCTGATTCCATTGTTTATAGGAATTATCAGTAACTATACTTCCCCCAAGGAGCTTCTGCCCATTCAAAATTGAAAAATTAAATTAAAATGGACCTAAAGACAATAAAATGCCTTGCTTTCTTACCTTTTCAATCCTATCACTGTGCCCTCCCCTACTCTCAGGTGCATTCAATAAGACTTTAGATCTCTCTGCACATTCTGTGAAACAAAACTTGGGGATTTTTATTCACTGTATTTGTTGATGTATCAATAAAAAGTTGATATAAAATGAAGGGAGATACACTTTTTATTTTATTTCTTTTAAGTTTTTTAATTGATTTTTAGAGAGAGAAGAAGGGAGAGAGAAAAAGAGATAGAAATATTGATAAAAGAGAAACATCACTGATCAACTTCCTCCTGCATGCCCCTTACTGGGAATCAATTCCACAATCTTGGCATGTACCCTGACGGAATCAAACCATGATCTCTTGGTTCCTGTGTCAAGCCCAACCACTGAGCAACACCAGCCTGGCAATACACTTTATTTTTTAATCCCTGGTGAATATCTATAAATCCAGTTAATCAAAGGGGAATTAAAGCTAGTATTTGAAATCCAGCTCTGAAATACTCACTTCTCTTGGTGATCTGGAGCCCCCTTCTCGAAATGTTGGTTTACATCTGAAATTAATCTGTCATTTAAGAAAGAGAAATGTATTATATTAGGGATAGGCATCATATTGGAATGAATTACCTCGCTAAACCAACATGTGACAGATACTGAGACTACAAAACAAGCCCCCCAAAGAATGAAGAACAAAGTTTAACACTATTCTTAGTCTTTTGAAATAATCACTTTAGATAATCTACAGAAACCCCAAGTGATTCTATACCTCCAATCCATACCTCTTCATTCTCACTGATGAAATCAACATATCTTTAAACAATAAAGATAATAAAGAAACTGAGATAATATAGACTCAGGGGGAAAATATAAGGCAGCTGAAATCATCCATCTGCATTTCAGATTTTAAAAGTAGAAAAATATAAAATTGGTAAATTTTTAATACGATAATGATGATTCACACACACACCCATAAAATAGTGTTTATTAAAGTATTCAGTATTAGATGGGGAGGTCTCCTGGTCATTTACACCTTCTTTAGCTATAAGGTAAGATGAAAGCATAGAAATGAAAGAGGAGAAGAGCTGGGACATGAGATAAGATATTTAGTAGTCATTCCCACAAAATATCAGTTGGCAACAATTGGCAATGTATCTTTAAAGCTCAATGAATGTTACAGCAGACTAAAATAATTCAACACATTTACCCATGGCAGCTCAAGAACATAGATAATGCAGATACTCATAGGCGGAAGTGGAGAGGGAGGGACGAGAGGGGAGAGGACAGTAGACAGCTCCCTATTGGAGCCTCTCCTTTCCCTCAGATGACAGATAAATGGACTACGCAGACCCCAGTGATTCAGAATGCCATGTCCAGCCCTGCCCACATATGAACCTGTGAGCAGGTTCACCGCTCACTTGAAGCAAGGAACTCAGAATTGCCTTCTGACTTGGTTCTCTCCTGTGCAGGCATTTTTTAGGAAGACATAAACGCACAGAGGTCAGACATATCTAAACCACATTGTTAAAGAGCTTATGGAATTTTTTTCTTTACGAGAAGATATCTTGTGGGAAATGTTATCGGTAAATAACAATGCTTGCTGTTGTAGAGAAAATCAGTGCCTACCAGGCTTTTCTCTCACCTATCATTCCTTCTCCCAAGAGTCAACATAAAATGATGTCAAATTAGCACTTATAATACAACAGAGAAAAAGAACCTTAAGCACTATATTTCCATTTTTAATCTGGTAAAAATGTTGGACTCCCAGTTTCCTAAAAGGGCATTGTTTTCAAGAAGTTGGATAAAGAAATAGACACCTGGTCTCAGTCCCAACACTTGTAAGGTATCAGAATTTGCAGCAGGTGGCGCTGTCTCACCTTTTCTAGCTGTTCAATGCAGGCGGAGTGGACCACGATTTTACAGACTGCACACTTCCTCCTGAGGGCAGATTTCTACAACATTCAATTCAAAATACAAAAAGAAATGTTAGCATTCTGTTCTAAAGAAATTATATGCAAATAAAGAAAACACTGCGATTGTTTATATTATTGAGCAATATAAGGTGAAATTTAAATTTTCACCTTAACCATTCAATAATATGGCAAATTTTATCAACAATGCTTTGACCCACCAAGTAGCTCCATATCCCCATGACTTAAGGTGGCCTAGATTTTCCCTTCAAAACATATTATACTAGCTACTAGATTGAGTATATAATATGAACCAAGCTCTTTATTCTAAATTCCATAACCTCAAAATGCAGATATTATTATCCTTCTTTTATTTCCTTACATTTTTACTCCAGTACATAAGGGGCAAGGCCAACCAACATTTAAAGTTAGCTGTAATTTCAAGCCAAGCATTCTTTCCCTGCTGCTAAAGAGTCTGCATTTCAAGAGGTCAATCAATTTAGGCTTCTATCCCAAGAACAAATTTATACTAAGCTACTTGGGTCTCTGCCCAAATTTTCAGGAAACCAAGGAGATAAGTCTAACTTTTACACCCAGTAATAATATCAATAATAGTTATAATAACAGCACCAGCAGCTTACACGGATCTAATACTTACTATCTGCCATGGGCTCTCATAAGCACTTCACAAATAGTAACTCATTTAATCCTCACAAACCTAAGGAATAGGAACTGTTCTTACTCCCATTTTACAGATGAGAAAACTAAGACACCATAAGTGATACGCCCAGGGTCGCATAGTGAGGGTCCACAGAGCCAGTTAGTCTGACTCCAGAGCTCCTGCTTAGAAGCATTACACAATTTGACCTGGCAGTCAATACCAGTTTAAATTCACAATAAAAACACTTGCTGAGGTATAACTTTTCTCAATAATAATAATAATATATATATATATATATATATATATATATATATATATATATATATTCAGCAGCAGAGAGAGAGAAATGGGTTGAATCTGGATTCACACCTGCAGTGCCATGTAAAGTCTAAGCTAGGAATACTCAGGCCTCTTTGCAGAGCACAGGTGAGAAGGCAGCTCTGCATAAATGATTCTGGGGTTTGGGGACCGAGAGGAACTTATTATAACAAAGCCCGTCTGTGGAATAGTCTATCAGTGCTTCCTGGGGAGAAAGGCCCTCATCCCCATCTTTAAGGGCGGTGCCAGTATAGGTTGCCACCACCTCCCCACTTCTGATGCGTGGCTTCCCTGGTTGAGGTATTGTTTTGGCGCCACCTATGATGGCAGGGAGAGAGAAGGAACAGATAGTTCTCGCAGAGGAGAGGACGAAACAACCACCTTGGAAGGGGCAGTCTCCGAAGAGAAACTGTAGCCTCCTGCCTCCCTGTGGCACTACCCCTCATCAAACACAGGCTATGCACAGGGTCACCAGCCACCAGCCAAGGACACGGAACAGCCATACTGCAGCAAGGAAACTCCCAGGCTCCAGTCCACACCCCGCTGACCGAGGTTTGGTTTAGTTAACCTGCTTGTGGTGCTATAGTTTCTCCTGGCCTTCTTCTCCCCGAGAAAAGAAGGTAGGTAGTCTTCAATGTTTGACCATCAATTGATTTTGCAAAAAAACAGAAGACAAGAAACACTCAAGCATCTAGCTACACTACAGAAAGGTGTCTCAGCTCTACTACCGAGGGGGAAGAAGAACAAGAATAAGTAGCAGTAATAGTAATAATAGCAGTAATAGTAGTAGTAGTAGTAGTAGTAGTAGTAGTAATAGTAGTAGTACTAGCAGCAACAGCAGTTGTAACAGCAGTAGCAGCAGCATTCGTGGCAACAGTAATAAAATTCTAGCGCGCTAATTTTCATGAGTGGAGTGCCCAGAAGGAAATGATTGCTGTTCTCCTGTTTCCTCTGGCTCTCCTGGTGCGGATTGCTGCCACAGCAGCACCACCAGCAGCAAATGCATGGGTTACTGGAGTCACGTCGCTAATCAGAGTGGCAGTGATGCTAAGCAAACTAGAATTGCCTCCATTAGCCACAAAGCCCTTGGTAGACTGCACTGCGGACAGCACAGTAGGCCACCACTGATGGGCTGTGACACAGCAGCCTCCTTCTTTACCAATCACTCCTGCCCTGCCTGACCTTGTGCCTGGCATTACGTTCTCTGGAGCTCCAGGGACCTGGTGAGGCTTCTACGAAGTTACTGGGTCAGTGGGAAGAGCACTGGGCAGGCTCAGGGACACACTGACACACAACCATCTCCTCCTTGCCTGTGTAATATCGGGCTTCCTAGTCAGGAATTTGAATAGGGACCTGGGCTGGAAGGGATTGAAAACGGCTGTGTTAACTATTATCTCTCCACTTATTAGTGTACTAGAGGGGGTCCCATGGCCTGGCCTGCAGGGATCAGTGGACCTCCTCACTGCTGCAGCCCGGCCTTATCCACCAGCTCATCGGGCTCCAGCCCGCTGCCTGCTTTGATCCTGCGCAGCATGAACTAGTGTGCAAGCGGCAGGAGGCTGGGGAGGAGCCCGAGCCTGAGCCAGGCTTGGCCCTGCACCTGCCAGGCACTTACGGGGAGAGTCTGTGGGAGAGGCTTGCCCAGTTGCACCTGCACTTGCCAGCTGTCAGCCCAGTGTCTGGCACCTGTCTGTCAGCTGAGCGGCCCTCGCACTGTGGTAGCACACTGACCACCAGGGGGCAGCTCCTGTGTTGAGCATCTGCCCCCTGGTGGTCAGTGCAATTATAGCTATCAGCCGGTCATCTGGTCACTTAGGCTTTTATGTATATAGATAAGTAAATATCGATACACTAATATCATTCATATGGAATAACTCAAGTGCAATGTTCTGCAGATGACAATATACGAAGTAAAGTGCCTTAAGTTGTAAAACTAATTTTATTTAAATAATATTTTTTTTAAAAAAAACTCACAAAATATATTATGTACTTCTCTGACCTTTAAGGCAGAATAAATAGTCCATCATCTGAATTTTTCTCCATAAACACTAATACAGCATGCATTTTACCTCAACAGTCATTTTTCTCTTTCCTGTCCTTCTATCAGACTAGATATTCTTTTAACGCTGCTGTGACTGCCTTTGGCTGCCCTCACATTACTAAATGGCACTTTGTAAACAGTTTATATACTGAGAAACAGATAATTAAGGTTTATAATCATATGCAAAATCAAGTAAATACATTCTGAGTTAAGATGTTAGGCTTTTCTCCCACTTAGTAAAATGCATGCATTTTAGTGCCTCAATTAGTAAATTTAATTTCTCTGGTGAATCAGAAGTCTTAACTGTTGACTTACTGGCTTATGACTGTATTTCAGCTGATCAAAGTCATTCAAAATAGCTATATAATAAGCTTCTAGGCAGAAATTGTTCAAAACATAGAATTTTTGTGCTTAGTTATGTTATAATTTTTAGTTGCAAATTTAAAAGTAAATAAAAAGATAAAATGCAGGAATCAAGACATTCTAAATACTACAAGCACTCACTTTTTCTTAGAAATCTCTCATTTAAGCCAACCCTACCTTCACTATGAAAAGAGATATATCAAGAAAGTCTTTAAAATTATTTCAGCAGGTTGGTTGTTATCCTTCATATCAGGGCCTAGTTTTTATACAACCTAGCACAAAAACATAATTTAAACAAAAAATATGGCCTGGAACCCAAAAATGCTTAAAAATTAAAATTATAAAAATTTAATAATTCACTCTCGCCAACGAATTTAAAGGCCAATTAGGCTTAGTGCTTTAAATATCAAGTAAAGTAACCTGAGTGCCCTTACTAATGGTTTCCTGATTTTGGCAAAGGAAATCCATTAGTTTGTAATCATGGGGGAGGGCACTTCTGTGACAACTACCAATATAGGATGACAGCCTTAACTGGCTGGGGCTGGGGCTGGGGCCAAAAGGATCAGAGGCAAGCAGGAGTAGAAAGTAGGTAACTGTCCCTAATAGAGTTTACTGTCTAATCCTATCTCACCCACCCACTTCCTCTGGTCACAAGTCACTGATGCATATGTATCACCAAAAACGCTGTTTTTTCTTTGAACAACAGATGTGATTTTTGCTAAAAAGTAATGAGTATCTGATGGCAGCCAATGTGGTTTGTTAGAAAGAGAAAGAGAAAGAGAAAGGAGGGAGAAGAGGAGAGGAAGGGAAATCTAGATTCATAAATCTCTGATTTGTGAAAGTATTTGGGCCTAAGGTAACTGATGTTGATTGTCATCCCTAACAGTCTGAAGTTTGACCCCAAAAAGCATGTACAAGGCAGGCACACCTCCACACCTCTCCACCTCCACAGAGTTCATTGCCAGAGATCAAAAGTGGAGAAATAGGAGGAAATACTTAGCTCCCTGAGCCAGCATGGCAACCCTTTCTTAGCTTGCCAGTCTCAGGAGAGCTCAGAAGCTAGAGCTTGCTGCTGGCAGAGGCAAGTTATGGGCTTGCAGCATCTCACTCCAGACAGAATTTCCAAACTTTGAGCTCCTAGAACTAACGCAAAGAGTGACTCTTCCATTAGTCCCACCCATATAATGAGACCACAGTGATGGAAAATGCATGACCAGAGGCTTCAGGCAGAAACTCAACCAAACTGGAATTGGGGAAGGATGTGGAGAAGGCACTCTGGGGAAAGGATCAAAAGGACTATTGGGTGGTGAAAGCAGGTGGATGCGGCTGGTGGAATAGATTTACTAACTGAAGCTTTTACCAAGCTGTCTGCTCTTGAGTGATTTCTCAGCCCCTAACTTTTCCCAGATCAGAAGATTTCATATTCAGGAATAAAATACTAAGGGAGGGTTGGAGATCAGGCAAAAGGGAAATAGCAAGTGAGGTGACAAGAATGTTATTCTCTCTTCTTACTCCCTTACGGACACAAAGCTCAGTCTGCAGGGCCACTTTGGTGGGAGGAATAAAGATGATGGACAGCAGGGCATAGACAAAGGTACCTTTTTCCCCTCCAACGGTGCAGCAAATGAAATGCTCAGGACAGTAAAAGACAGAAGCTTC